AATCAGCCTGGGGGCCCCTGCAGGGCAGAGCCCAATTTAAGTAAGTGATAATGGCATTTGTTAGTTCAGCACAAAAATGCAAGAGGATGGAGTCCATTTGCATAACCAGTCAAGTGAAAGCTAAAGGTGTCAAATTTCTACAGAGACGTAAATGTAGACTATGCAAATATTTACATTTTTCAATTAAGCGCACAAAACCAGCTGTCAAGCACAATGGGTCATTATAGATAGCAGGCAAGCTGTTTTAATGAAAGGTACGAATATAGCTTTGGTGAATATTCTGCTCCAACAGAGATGCAATTTTTTTTTAAAGTACATTAGGAAAGAATCAGACAAGCCACCACAATGGCATCCTGCTTAAATCAAGGTGTCCTGCAGTGTCTTTTATTTTTTAATCACAACTGCACGGAATTTTATTGCAAGAAGGCCTAGACACGGTCAGCCTGCTCTCAGTTAGGCATGTAACATGGCTGAGCTTGTCACACTGTTGTACAGCATCATCTACAGGCTGCAGGTCTAATCAACAGGACAGTGATTCCTGCGAAGTGTGATGTCAAACCAAGAAGCCTGCAGTCCACGAAAAAGCAAGCATCAGACATCACACACTGGAGGACATGTATGCTAGTCTTCATCCCCCCTGCATGGGAGTTGTACCTTGGAGCGAGAAGATATAATGGGATTAACTTAGAGAAAGTGGTGTAAAATATCTCAGAAGCACAGCTCATCTTAACATCCTCTATCCAGAAGGCACAATACTGAGCAAGTAAGAGCTGTTTCAAGGTCACCCTCACTACCAGAAGAACCCTGTACACAGTAAGTGCAGAGTACAGATAGGCAATACATATACTAGGAGTTTCATCAAGAATATATAGTACTATCAGACATACCACCCTGTTCACATTTCCTTTCCCATCTTTCAGGGCAGCAATGCTATGGAGCCGAGTCAGGATGCAGATCGAGCAGGTGATGGACGACAAGCCGTCCCAGAAACAGCTCAGTGCCATCTACCTGTGATTACTCCATTCACAGGTAAACCTCCCAAATCTAGGAAATAAAGGCAATTTGGGAAATGTACCCAGGTGAATCAGCCTGATGGTAATGACCAGCAGTGACCGCCCTCTGCCCGCTTACTGAGCAGCACCAACACATGCACTTCACAAAGGGACCACTGGGGGGCGCAAAACTCCCAGGACAGGAGCATGACCCTGGAGACTAGAAGTAAAAGCTCATATTACTGTAGTAGCTAATGTTCACAAAGACTATTAACCATCAGTCATCAGTGCCTGTCCGGGTAAAGCGTCTATTTGGGCCGGGGGGGGGTGGGGGGGGTGAGCCCAATCTCGCTCCCTTTTCTCTCAAATGAGCCCCGTTTGCTGGGCCAAACTAAAAAATATATTGCCCTACCATCTCAGCAGGTTACATTACTAAAACAAGCTTAATGATAGTTCTAAACGAAGAAAAGATAAGAACAAAATAAAGCAACGAGGAGCGACTAGCTTCACAAACCTGAACACTGATCAATATCAACAATAAACCACTTCAAAAAACCCAATAGCGTGATATATTGCTGTCATTACAGTACTGAAACAACATACTGACCAAAACTACTCTTCAAGTAAGCATTACTGCCGTGTTTGAAAAAGAGGACCAAAAATAACATGTCATTTACTCAAGAGAGGTTTAACACTACAACGAACTGACCTGCCAACACAAACACGAATCCAAACTGTTAACCACAGTTCAAGAAACTAAAATGTCATACTTCTTCAATCTAGAGGTTTGTTTTTCATGTGATTCTTCGGTGGTGGAATACTACACCCCAACACGTCCTTCAAGAAACATCTTGACCATCTACTCTGGGAACCTCAGTTAACCTTATCCAACAACTGACCACCCCAGCTCACTGTCTTCATTGAGTGCTCTATGGATATGGTTTTATTAATGGATGCTGTGTTCTTCTCCCTCCTAGAACCTCTTGGTCTTATTTCTGTAGCTTTTCTGATACTTTCTATGGCTCTTGTTGTCATGACTATGTTGCACTTGTCACTGGTAGCTCACAGAGCGCTGCAGCGCTGCTATCCAAGTGGGCTCCTTGACAGACGCCTGCTTACGATGCATTACCTGTTTAATCTGTACATCACACTGCAATAGTTTCTGCTAAATAAATGTACATGTAGAAATCACTCTCATATCCTCACCCATAAGTACGTATGGCACTATATTTTCTTTGGTCCGATCCTGATATCAATATTAAAATCCGATATTTTTTCTCCTATATCAACTACTAAGCATTAAATGACATATTTGCATCAATACATTCAATTAACATGGCAGACTATCAGCATTTGCTGTAGTGTTGTGGTGGCATTAACAATGCTAACAAGAAAACTTAATGGTCGTGTTGCTTAAAGCTGTGCCGCTACGCTACAGGATGAAACCCAGGGCCAACACGATTTACACAAGCCTGCTTCTGGTTTATTCAGTTACAACTTTCACAAAAATGAGCAGAAATATTTCTTAAAGTGCAAATTGTGCAATCTGTTGCCAAATGAAATATAATGAAATCACTGTATATCACCATTTATAGTGCAAAAGTACACTCAAATCTCCAGCACAACATATACAATGAAGTGACACACATGCATTGCTGAACGATTCATCATGTGACCCTCCCTTCTGTTTACAGTACGTCCCGCTAAGGCTACAACCGTTTCCCTGATTTTTCAGGCTGGATTTATCTCTGATGGAAAATCAGATCAGATTGGCATTCAACCTCCCCCCGGGGACCAGTACCCGAATCCCACACTGATTTTCGGTATTGGATTGGCAGAATCTCCACCCATAACCTAAAGGTCACAACCTTCCAACCAGACGTGACTCACCGTGACAGTGGTGCAGTTGCTGCTCATGGAGATGCACTGGTCAGCACACCACTGGCAGCCGTTGGTATTAGCCGTGCAGCTGTAGCAGTCTGTGTACGAGTCACACTTCTCGTTGTCGGCATCTATAAAGATGCAAACAAGACAGCAAGCTTAGTTCATTCACTCCGGCAGGCTGCTTCCAGTAAATTACACATGAATGAGAAAAATAACCCATCGATGAAACAAAGAACAGTTTTAGGCAAGTGCTTCGCAGCAGCGTATTGACAAAGACATCCCAAGAAGCAAAAATAACAGGGGGAACTTCTGATTCCTTAGTCCAGAAGCTGTGGGCTAAAGTATCTCGTTTGATCTTCACTAGGACAGTGTGAGAGACAGCCCAGAAAAATTGTCTCATGCAGGAGAAAACATGGTTGATGAATGAGGACAAGGCCTCTAGGGGGCGAAGGTGAGCAGGGGAGAGAGCTTGTGGGTAGGTGGAGGAGCTCGACAAGCCCCGGACCATCTGCTTCCTCGACTGCAAATGACAACCCAAACATATAAATCCTCCCAGGAGGACCGCATGTGTGTAGCTAAGGAACACACTGTATCTTCATAATAATGCGGCAAGCCTGCCAGAGTGCATTAACTTATTCACTTTCTGAGCTTTTCATTTCATAAAGTCCCAGAATTACTTTCCAGGACAACTCTATACAAGGGAGTGTGCTTGTGCCTCTCCATGAGCTTGCAAGACTGGATGCAACGTTTCTGGGACAAAGGTGGTTTTTTATTTTGGCGGGGGCCGTGCTGAGAACATACATGCTTTGCGGGGGCAGGAGGACAGCACCAGACGCTCCTGGTGGGGGCTGGCAGCCTCCCAGGGCAGACAGGTGCTCTGGCTGCTGTTCCACAGGCATCGGATTCCCGGCCAGGCAGAGCCGCAGGACGTCTCGCTGGAGAAGGCGGAGCAGCTCGCCGGGGTGAACGTGAGCACGTCGCTCAGCAGCAGGCTGTTAAAGCCCCCAAAGATGTACATGATGCTGGGGGGGGGCAGAGGAGAGATAAACAGTGAGAGATGAAGGAACAGACAAGAGAGGTTAACAGGCTCAGACACAGGGGGCATCGACATCCCATATCAATGACACAAGGGCTGTATTTCTCCCCAATAATGGAGGGTATATTCCAGTCATGTGGGGGTGATTCCTTAGGGAAGGAAAACGTAGATAAGGAACATGGTAGATAAGTAATTAAATTGAAGGGGAAACATGCACCAAACCACACGAGTAATTCAGCTGCTACACGGTAAGGCAGAAAACATACTGCCAGCCACCAGCAGTTCTGCATCAAACTTCACTGCACCAATAGCTACTTTTAGACAGCCAGTTTCCTGCTTTATGCAGAGGTTTTGTACATCTGTAGTACTGACATCACTATGACACATGAGGAAGCAGGATTACTTACTACAGGCTTACACATTACATCCAAAGTGTGCTGTGCTATTTAGCTAAAGCCCGCAAATGCCTTTTACTCTGTTAGTAAAAAAAAAACTTTAACATGACGCATGTTACACACTTTGCAACAGAATTCAAATGCTTATATTCTGGGTTAATTTCAGGAAAGAGACCATGGTTTTATTTTCAATCAGTAATCCCAATGGATTTCAACTGCTGTGTGTGCTTGTCATTTAGAATAAAAACCTTACCATCAAAAATCTAAATGTGAAAATTTAAATTGCTGCACTGTTATTAATATCTAGACATGATAAACACATAAAAACATAAGAGATCACAGTGGTATCATAGTGTGTAATATTATTCTAATCCACCTTTACTGGTGTTAAAGTTTAATGTGACATTAAAGATTAGAGTCAGCAAAGACAGAAAGGAAATCATAATTCATAATTAAACACAAACATCCAAAGAGAGAACGCACCCATTGCTGTAAACTGCAGAGTGACCAAAGCGGTTGACATCGTGGTAGAGGTCTGGTCGAGGCAGTACTGACCATTCATCACAAGCTGTGGGAAGAGGATGGTCACCAATGGGACAAGAGAGCCATTAAAACTAAATAATCCCAGCAATAACAGCAACAGGCCAACAGCTATTTCTAAATGAAATCCCAGCACCCATGCAGAAACAAGTGAACAGAAGTGAAAGTGCCACGTTGTAAAACACTTTCATATGTTCGGTGTCTTCTAAGTTTCATTTATATTTCCCAGTTGTTGGGGAAGCACAACCCCCCCCCCCACAAAAAAGGGATCACGTTATTAAAATGCTTTTGAGGAAGCACAAATCCTCACTCCATGGTTTCACAAATTTGAGCATGTTCAGCTCAACATACTACAAAGCAGAACAGGCTAGAGACTAAACACCACAACCACATGGTATCACACTACAGCACAATCAGATTTTGATCACAGAGGTCATTCTGAACATTACAGGGTAAAAATGCATTTTTCATGCCGTTGATAGACCACTTTAGCAAGGCTGCTACTGATTTTTTCTCTACTGTGTCAGAAAATCCATAACTCAATTTTTATAACAGTAGCAAGAAACTGTGGGCTAGGGGTGTCTTTTTATTGGCATGACACTGGGGGTCATAACCCTATCAGACCCAAGCTGGGTACGTGTCATTATCAACATGTTCAAAGGTGTGCGGGGGTGTGTGTGCATGTGTGTGTGTGGCGGTGGGGGCTCGCAGATTGCAGCCAGTTTGCATCACTGCTGGTCGGGCCTGAAGCTTTTCCCTATTCATCATCAGCGATTCGGCCATGTGCTTCACCTGCATCTCCACCCAAGGTCTAGGAAGCTCAGCATCTGACAGGTCTACAGCCAGGCTAGTCTGAGCACCCAATGCCAGCGGCTTCCCAAGTTCACCAGAGTCACATACTATGCATGCAGCTTCACTCACATTCTTGAATCTTGTTTGTTATTCATCAAAAGCCCAATTTTCTAAAACTAGGCCAAGCCATTTTCATTACAGTTTAAAACTTGTAGTGGACTCTACAGCTTTCACAGCCTGATTGTGTGTTCACATTGCCCTCTGCTGGGCAAAGCCAAAAAGTACCTTGCTCCAAGTAATATTGCAGAAAATAAAATGTGTACTATATGTCACTCAGACAAAAAAAAATATATATAGTTTATTTATATATCAATAAATAAGTAATTAACTTATCTACTGTGACCCAATCTTAAACACTCAAACTTGTGAATGCTTGTGAAGACAAAGTAATCCACCAGAAAAGGAGTGCAGGAAATAGAGGGCCTGTTACTCTGGCAGCAAAGAACAGCAGCAGCATCCGTTCCGTATCCCGCCTGGCGGAACAGAGAGACCTAACTATACAGAGCTCCACTTCCAAGCCAGCAAAGACCAGCATCATTAAATCCAAAACAACTGCCCTCTCAGGGTTAAGTATTTTTAACCCAGAAACCCTGATGTACTGTAATAAGGAGTAACTCACCACTTAGTTCCATTAAAAATAAGGAAATTGCAGAGAGGCTATCTGCAGAGGAAGTCTAATAATCAACATAACAATCACCCTGGCTTGAACACAAGAACTAAAAACAATCGAAGTGTCTGCTGTAATGGGGCAAAGACATCCCACCTAATGTGAACATACAATACCTGGACAGAAGTATTGTGACACACCTCTTAATCACCGAATTTGGGCATTTCATTCAGACCCATTGACACAGGTGTATAAAATCAAGCATCCAGCCATGCAGCCAGGTTTATAAACATTTGTGAAAGAATGGCTCAATCGGAAGGGATCAGTGAATTCAAGCGTGGTACCGTCATAGGATGCCACCTTTGCTTTAAGTCATTTTGTGAAATTTCTTCCCTGCTAGATATTCCACGGTCAGCTGTAAGTGGTATTACTGCAAAGTGGGAGCTTTTAGGAGCAACAGAAACTCAAGCACAAAGTGGCAGATCATGTAAAGTGGGGATGAGTGGGGTCACCGAGTGCTGTGGTGCATAGTGCGTAAAAGTCACCAACGCTCTGTTTACTCAGACTTCCTCTGGCATTAACCCCAGCACAAAAACAGAGCTTCATGGAATGGGCTTCCATGACCGAGCTGCCGCATGCAATGCCATGTGTCAGATGGAGTGGGGTAAAGCACGCTACCACTGGACTCTGGAGCAGAGGAAATATGTTCTGGGGAGTGACGAATCACATTTCTCTGTCTGACAGTCTGATGGATGAGTTTGGGTTTGGCTGATGCCAGGAGAACATTACCTGCCAGACTCAATTGTGCCAACTGAAAAGTTTGGTGGAGAAGAGGTAATGGAATGGGGTTATTTTTCAAGGGTTGGGCTAGGCCCCTTAGTTCCAGTGTAGGGAACACTTAATTCCCCCCTATTCAAATCTGGCCTTCTATTCCAAATCCAGGCCTTGTTTTCAGTTCTCCCTGGTAGTTAGTTTAATGAATAATGATTCTGATTGGCCACAAGAGCTTAACACCTGGTTCACAAGTAAAGGAAGACTCAAAAATCAGCAGTGGTTGGCCCTTGAGGACCGTGATTAGAATAGCCTTGACATAATGCTTCAGCATACCTAGACATTTTGGACAATTCCTATGCTTCCAACTTTGAGGGAACAATCTGGGGAAGGCCCTTTTCTATTCTAGCCTGACTATGTCCCAGTGCACAAAACAAGGCCATAAAGACATGGCTGGGTGAATTTGATGTAAAAGAACTTTACTGGCCCGCACAGAGCCATAACCGAAATCCCACTGAACACGTTTGGGATAGACCGGAGATTGTGAGCCAGGCCTTCAACATTCAACAGCAGTGCCTGACCTCACAAATTCTCTTCTGGATGAATGGGCAAAAATTCCCACAGACATTCCAAAACCTTGCAGAAAGCCATCCCAGAAGAGTGGCAGCTATTATAGCTGTAATGGAGGGGACCAACCGTATTGATGCCTATGGAATGTCAATGTGATGTCATAAAAATCCCTGTGGGTGAAATAGACAAGTGTCCTGATACTTTTGTCCATAGAGTGTTACACACAGTTCTGGAACATGGACCGGGTGGTTGGGCTGTTGCCTCACACCTTCACAGGATGGAATCAAAGAATGGGAGTGATTTGAATCCATGTCTGGCTCTGTATGAGGACTTCATTTGCCCCGCCCCCCATGCAAGTGGGTTCCCTGGTACAATCCATAATGCTCCTGAAATGCATGGTTGTGCAGCTCACAAAAGACCGAAAATGCTTTCACAGTACATGGTCTGCCTTATGCTTCTCTGAATAGGCTGAGAATCACAAGCACAAAAACAGGATAAGCAGCTTGGGTCTAAGAGTTGGATGGGATTATCCATCTTTCCTACAACTGAAGCATCATCTCATTTTCTTGGATTTTTCAGAACACCCCAAACCAGCACTGCCTGTGGTGTTCAGAGATGGTTTAATCCAAAAGATCCATGAGAATCCAGACACGCCGCAGCTGAACGATGGAACCAAATAATTAGTTTCATGCTGCAATACAAACAGATGGAGCCCCTCTCGGAGAGCCACACTCACCCAGGTCGTAGGCCATGAAGTCGGAGGAGAAGCACTTGGCCCCATGGCTCATGGATGTGTCATTGTGCGTGTTCCCGCCAAACACCAGCATGGTGCCGCTCACGATGATGGCTGTGTGCAGGTAGCGGAAGAAGCCGCTGTCTTTCAGGATGGTCCTGAAAAATAACAGCCAAATCCAGGAGCTATGAGCCAATGAACCAACACCAGCTGCGTCAGAAAACCCAAACCACCATGTAAAACCGTAACACCTGCCAGTACAAGTAAACACTGTGCTTTCAGTTGCAGTTGAAAGAGAATTCATTGTAGCCACATGTATGCTAACTTGCTGTCTAGTTGTAGCCACATTTGTGTTAGCTTCCTATTCACTTGTAGCCGCACTTATACTAGCTTGCGATTCTTTTTTAGCAGCACGCGTGCTATAGCTCGCCATAGCACAGTGGCTGAATCTGCAGAAACTTCTCACAGCCATACTGGAGCCTGTACTTGTTTCCCCCAATCAGAGAAATGACACACCAGATGCACCAGCTGGCACCCAACCACTGGCAAAGTTGAATGTGTCCTATTGACGAACCAGTAGGGCTGAAACACACTGGTAGTTAGAGAGACCGCTCCGATAGCCTGATGCAGCACACATCCCAGGCCCCTGGCTTCAAACACTGCACACTGGTAGTTAGAGAGACCGCTCCGATAGCCTGATGCAGCACACATCCCAGGCCCCTGGCTTCAAACACTGCACATTGTTTGCATTAACAAATGGCCACAGGTCCACCTTCTCTTAATAAATAAATAAAAGAGTCAAGGCTGCAAAAGAAAAGTAATTTCCTTCCATAGATACCATCAATTTATCAGTGAGGTGGATTAAGGTAAGAGATCATCCTTCAATAAAGAAACACTGCTTCTATTCATGTTAATACACTCAAAAAATGTTGTATTTTTGGGTAGCTAAGTCGCTGTCCTTGTTTTGGTTCAAATACTTTCCACTAAGTGCAGACTGTTCTAACACTCGGAAACGATTCCGGTCACGAAAGTGGACTGCATCAATCACTGACTGAGGGACTCAGGGGCCCTAGGATGAATAAATTGGTTCATTCACTAAACGAGGGAAAGGAATCAGCAGGGATTTGATGGAAAATCCCCAGCAGGCACATTGGTTTTCCAATACTGAGGCTCCACCTATCAACACCCCAACCACCTGGACTGCAATGGTTGATTTGCCATGAGGAAAAAGGGCAAAGCAAGTGAAGACAAATCAGTGGAGCACAGCTCAGCTGCTCTGTGCAACCCCAAAGGTGCCAGGCTTCTAGGACAAGCACAGGTACAGATCATAAGACAACAAGAACCGAGAATGCACAATAAAAATAAATAAAAAGATGAATAATTATAACAGACAAAAGAGCATGAGAAAGCGTACACTCAGGTAATTACATATAACTTTCGACTAATTGTTAAAATTGTTTCCCTATTGCATGACTTACAGTTCTATGTTATATAGTTCTATATTACTGGGTATCGGTGACACCATCTGTAACAGGGTCCTGGACTTCCTGAAAGGCAGACCCCTGGTGGTGAAGATGGGGAATTAAAGTTCATCCCTCCTGATCTTCAACACAGGGGCCAAACCAAGAATACAGCCTCTTCATGCGTGACTGCAGGGGCAGATTTAGCAGCAACTGCAGCATCAAATCTGCTGGTGATGCTACACCGATGATGGAATAAGGTGACAGATCAGGCAGAGTAGTGCCATGACGACAACCCCCCCCCCCCACCGAACATCATTAAAACAAAGGATGCTACTGCGGACGTTAAGAAGCACTACACAAGTTGCACCCTAATCACCACTGATGGCTTTCCAGTGCACACTGCCAGCAACTTCAGGGTCCTGGGTCTCTAGATCTCAGAGAAACTGAGGTAGACAGAGAACATTGGATCTGCTTCCCGAGATGACTGAGGAAATGGGGCATGTGCAACGGACCCCACACCGTTTTGTAAGGTGGTACCACTGAGAGTGTTAACAGCAGTGTAATGGTGTGGTGAGGCCACAGCTCACAACAGAAAAGCTATACAAAGGGTTGGGAAGTCTGCCCAGAACATCACAGGGACTGAACTAACCGCCACTGATCCGCTACCCCTTAACTGCTGCTGTAATGAGGTTCATTCTAGGCTTCAGGATCCCATCCACAAACTTCACACACCTTGCAGTCTGGCAGGCGGTTTCACAGCATCAGAACACTGACTACAGGATTCAAGAACAGGCTCATTCCCCAAGCCATTTGCATTTCCAATATCCACATTTCCCATGACAGTCGTATCCATGGCACATGCACTTTACAGAACTGTTACTGCATATTGTCTACGTTGTATTGTTCTGCACCGTCTTGTAACCAAGTGCGGCTAAATAAGCAAGCGTTCCAAAGCACCTGTTGCATATAGCTAATAAAAACTCTGAATACATATGTAACCCTCCTTTACTAGCTTAGCTACACAGATACGTGAACATATGCGTCCAGTTTGCAGAGCTCGACACTCACCACATCCTGGTGTCCACTTCGTACTTGTACAGGTCGTCAGCCAGCCCGTACTTGTTGGCACTGAAGGCCTTGTAGCCACCGTGAATGTAGATGGCGCTGGTATTGGGGTCATATACACTACTGTGGCCGTACCCCCCCTGCACTAGTGCCCCGTTGGTCTTCAGGATGCTCCAGGTGTTGGTGGCTGAGGGAGGGAAGGAGGGGAGACACTAGCTCTGATCAGATTGCGCACTCTGATCGTTGAGCCAATAAATCTCGCTACTTCGGCACACATTTCCATTTGGTACATCTGTAATAATACTTTGGTACAGTTAAATCTTTATAAAAGCTGTTTTCTGGTACAAAAGCATTGACAATCACTAACATCCACTAGGGGGTGCTACAGGACTGTTCAAATATTTGTACTTGTTAGAAAGGTTGGTTCAAGGAATAAAACATCATAGCTACAATTTCATCTGATGTACATCCAACAATGAGACATACTGGGTGGTTTACACAAAAATAAAATTCACTCAGAGTGAGAACAGGTTTTTGTAGCTAAATACTGAAGATTACCATCAGAAACAGCTGCAGCATATTGGATTTGAAGGAATTCCTTGAGTCACATCTGAGAAAGTGGCAAATAACTAATTAAAAAAAGTTTAACCTAAAACTACTCAACACGTATTTATTAATTCAGTGCCTGAGACCAAATGTACTAGGAGTATCCCTGTAGTCACAGTTAGCATAGTCAGCAATGTGTGAATCCCTGTATGCCAGGAAAGAGGATCCTGATCCATGGAGGGCTGGTGTGGGTGCGGGTTAGTGGGATGACCTCTGAATCAGCCAATAATAAAACAGTGGTTCTCAACTCCAGTCCTGGGGACCCACTGTTATTGGCTGATTGGATTGTCAGCTCAAAATCCCACACCAGACCTCAATGGATCAGGTTCCCCACCCATGCTGCATGCAGTGATAGTAGAAGCAGAGGTGGGGGGTATTTCTACAGACACAGAGAGGTGCTAGCCTGTGCAGATGGGGTTAGCACACATCAGACATGTCAGAGCCAACCCAGAGGACGACCTGCCCCGCAGGACCTGGCACTCAGGCTCAGCACTGGCTGTGAAACGGTAACTACAAATCAATAAAGCACTGCTTCATTACCAGCTTAATCGATGACCATTACATCAGTCACTCACTTACGAATGCCCAAGCATGGTACGTTTGTAAGCCCTCTTACAGATCAAGTCACCCACCAAGACTACACTTGGAGGCAAACTCATAAAAAGTTATTTTTTTATGAATGGCAGGATGACAGCCGATTGCAGAATCAACACCAAAGACAAAACACCGAGAACCCTGATGAATCCAGACACATATAGCCAGACACCCATGGAGCCTGTGACCAAAATTCAAACTTTAGTCCCCACTGGTCTGAGCAGCTTACAGTGGGATCCGCTGTAGTCATGCAAAAAGAAACCCTTGCAGGTTCCAGTGGACATAAGCAGAGTTATTTGCTGCTCTGATAACAACAGCTGGAGATTTGTCTCAGTCAGCCCAGAAATGTGGAGTTTTTCTACACATAGTGTGTAAACAAATCATGGCCATATTACTGAAATATTTCACTTTCACTATACACACTTTCATTAATTTGAATTAATTAATTAATTAATCTGTCTCTGTATTTTCAGGCATTGCCCTGGAAACGAAATGTACATAGGATCTGACAGAGCCTCCAGCCCGATACAGGAAGCACAGAGCATGAAAATGGAACACCCTAGGTTCCAACAGACATACAAAAACACACACGGACACTAAATGCAATTTAGAAAAGCAATTCATCTAAACCATGTGTCTAGGGACTTTGGGAGTAAAACCATAAAAACCCATAAACCCAAAAGTGAGATGCCACAATCCTACCCAAAGAGCCACTGCACCACAATATCAGTGAGAGACCACAATCCTACCCAAAAAGCCACTGCGCCACCCTATCAGTGAGATCACAATCCTACCCACAGAGCCACTGCGCCACCCTATCAGTGAGATCACAATCCTACCCAAAGAGCCACTGCGCCACCCTATCAGTGAGATCACAATCCTACCCACAGAGCCACTGCGCCACCCTATCAGTGAGAGACCACAATCCTACCCAAAGAGCCACTGCGCCACCCTATCAGTGAGAGACCACAATCCTACCCAAAGAGCCACTGCGCCACCCTATCAGTGAGATACCACAATCCTACCCAAAGAGCCACTGCGTCACCCTATCAGTGAGAGACCACAATCCTACCCAAAGAGCCACTGCGCCACCCTATCAGTGAGAGACCACAATCCTACCCACAGAGCCACTGCATCACCCTATCAGTGAGAGACCACAATCCTACCCAAAGAGCCACTGCGCCACCCTATCAGTGAGACCACAATCCTACCCACAGAGCCACTGCGCCACCCTAAGAGTGAAAGGCTACAATCCTATCCACAAAGCCACTGTGCCACCGTAACAGTGAGACCATAATCCTACCCACAGAGCCACTGCACCACCCTTACAGTGAGAGGCTACAATCTTACCAGATTCAGAAGGTGAGAAAAGGTATTTTTGGCAGTGTCCTCATTCAGTCACATTTAACTCTCTTATGTCTATCAGTCCCCTAATGGCGAGTTAGTGACTCATATTTCAATGACTGACCTTATTCGATAAAGCCACCTGTTTTAGGGCCAAGATGACTAACCTGCCATATCTAAAGTTCCATGTTCGTGTACGATATTTATATGAAATTATTGCTAGAAAATGCCTAGGAAAAGGCGTATTAAATCATTTTCAATCATATACTTGAAAACTTAAGTCAAAGACTCATCTTGAGCGGAAAAACAAACTGTACCATCCTTAATTTTCAAATATAATGGCTTAAATTATACCTTTAATAGCCTTCACCTTCTCATGGGGAAGAAAAACCCATTCACTGAACTTAATGACCAATTTTTCATGCACCACGATGACTGACTTTTGCAGGCCAACAGCTGGTTAAACCCTAGACAGTCCCAGCTTAACCTTCACGCTGTGACTCACTCCAGCTGCCCTCTGTGAGACCACTGGCTCCCACCCCAGTGTCACGCCGCTTGACAACAGCAGCTAACTGGGGCTGGTGGCTTGGCAGCACCACAGCCCCCACCTTCGGACACCACTTAGATGCGGGCGCTTCAGGCCATGCAGCTCCAGCCTAAAGCCGGATGATAAAAATGATAAAAAAATTTAAAAAGTCAGCCAATTTGAGAGCAGGTCCTACCTGCATGTTCTCCAAGCTTCTGACTTAAAACTGGGTTTTATGAAGTGTCTGGCTACCCACTGTTCCATGGGACAGATTCATGGAACAGAATGTATTCACTTTGCTGCTTACGAGACACTTAGGCCCAAAGGAAGGAACATGGCTTACTGTCTCTTCATGCATATCAGTTTACACATATAGACACACAGTAAGTCACTGAAAGTAAACTGGGTTCAGAGCAATTCCTGCAATCTCCAGACCACAATGCTGCCCTTCAACAAGAAACATCTCTCTGCACCTATCAAATCCCTTCCACAATTAATCAGACTAATGTAGTTAATATAAACAAAAATGTGTAAAGTTCCATAAGGCCTGTAATTTGGCAATATGACATTTGCAGTGAGCAGTATGAACTTTAGACTGAGAATATTTAATGGGTACCTGCTGACCTTCTACGGACTGACAGTTAATTTGGAGATCTAACTGAACAGACATGCATGCCTTCAATTAACGCACAGCTATCCAACAAACAGGCTGACTTAACTTTAGAGCAAGGCTGTACAAAGAGACTCAGGTTAAAAATGCTCCAGTTGCCACGGCCGTCGCCACAAAGCTACTCACCGATGTTGTACTCCTGCACCTTGCTGATGTAGCCGTAGAGAGGGCAGTGACCGAAGATGACTAGCATGACGGAGCTGTCCTGGGCCAGTCGCACCACGTGGGCCGACTGACCCACTACAGCATACTGCTCCTTGGCCCGTGGACTGGCCAGCACCCAGGACTGGTTATGGATGTGGAAGACCCACAGCTGGTTGGTGATGTTGCCTGTGGAGTCTATCTTGCCTCCGTACATGTAGATCTTGTGCTGGGGAGAGACAGGAAGTCGAAGGTTCACAGGTGACGTCGATGCACCAGACACCAAACACTGCAAATTAACCATCCCACACAGAACCCAGGGGAACAATTATGAACGTACAATAAAAATTATGTTTATGTATATGAGAAAAATCAATATAGGCTGGAAAACCCCACCTGACCATAACAAAATACATGAAAAACATGAAGCATCTCAGAAGCTTGGGCTGATAGGCTTGTATGATGTAACAGACACAGAGATCGAGCCTAAGAAGTAAAAAGTAGAAAGGTAGAAGAGAAGGCAAGTTCTCCACAGTACTGGACAGAGTAAAATCATCTAGACCAGCAAAGAGACATTAGTCTAGTCCTGGAAAATAAAAGGCATTTAAAAGCTGATCAGAGACACAAAGGCTGGAGATGAAGAGTGACTGCGGTCCTCTATGGACCTTAAAAACACATCTAAATGTAGTTATATACAGAGCACAAGTAACACCATCTTTGAAGCAGCTCCAGCCACACCAATCCACTAGAAACCATCAAGCCAAGCACATGCATGCGTGTAACCAAGCTTCACACTGCCACAGGGGCAGCGTCCTGATCACATGCACACACATGCATGCATGTAACAGAGCTTCACACTGCCACAGGGGCAGCGTCCTGATCGCATGCACACACATGCATGCATGCATGTAACCAAGCTTCACACTGCCACAGGGGCAGCGTCCTGAGCACATGCACACACATGCATGCATGTAACAGAGCTTCATGCATGTAACAGAGCTTCACACTGCCACAGGGGCAGCGTCCTGAGCGCATGCACACACATGCATGCATGTAACAGAGCTTCACACTGCCACAGGGGCAGCGTCCTGAGCGCATGCACACACATGCATGCATGTAACAGAGCTTCACACTTCCACTGGTTTAATTGCATATATTCTGATGTTAGTGTGCACACAGATCAAGTATGCACTTACTGCCCAGATTCAAATAGATATAAACAGTTTTTGTTGGCATCATAGGACTTCTTCACAATACTGTACTTGGTGTCCAACTGACTGCAACAGAAGAAGCTCCTATGGTCAATGGCACTGGAACTGAAGTGGCATTGCGTCCATGTTAGGTAGGGTTATGGGGCTCATGCGGAGCGCTGAGGAAGGCCTACCTCATGCAGAGCTAGGGAATGGCCATAGCGTGCTGTGACTGCATCCACGGAGCGGTTCAGAGTCAACCACAACTGGGAGGTCAAGTTGTACCTGCGAGAAATAAGAACAGAAGGCACAGTGAAGACAGTAACAGACAGACATCGAGGAGTACAGCTGACGAGGTAAACGCCCCAGATTAGTACAGCCAAAATACATGGCTAACGCCACAGCCCTTGAATCCCACATCTAGAGTCCAGCTACTGCAGCTATTAAGACTTGCCCCACACCTAAAAGGCCCAGCATCACTAATAAACTTGAGTTGAGATACTTTTCTCTGAACTACCCAGCCTGAGCGACCTGACAGGGGTAACAGAGCAACATCAGAGTCTCCATTAAGACCATTACTGCATAACTGCATAATAGCAGGTGTTTGCATCAGAGAGATCCTTGTGTTTGCACGATGGCACTCGACCATCCTTTAAGAGAAAAGAGCCGCAGACAGCACTTACGCTTTCACCATTTTGTAGTCAGAGTAGTTGAACACGTATCCGCCAATGACCCACATGGTGTCCTCATCGACCACGGCCTTGTGGGAGGCGCGGGCCAAACTGTCTCCGGAATAGTCCTCATGGGTCCAGAAGGATCGATTAGCGGGCACAGGGATGGAACAATCGGGACCTGAAGAGAGAGATCCTACTCATCCCTTTCCCAGTTTCCGATCAAACTAAGCTGTCACACAGCCTCCCAGGGCATGTTCAGCTAACTGTATGTCACACAACATGCTGTATCATTAACTGAGTTTACTGTGGACAGTAAAATAGCACAATACACGGTACCATCCACATCTTCACCCATTAAAACAACACGCTGAGCAGCAAAAGTCAAAGGTTTTGCTGGATGCCTGGTCTCATTATGCAGGTTTAAAACCACAGGCTGAATTCCAGGGCCGATAAACAAGCCAGGGACCATTAAGCAGCAAGTCCCCGATACGGTGACGGCGCACGGAGGAAACGTGTCGTGAATTTACTCAGCCCAACCTGCAGCAAAAGGACGTGAGTCTGACTGCCTAAAGGCACGACGGAGAAGTTAATGGAGTGCAAAAAGTGACCGCCGTGAACGGAGAATGGATGAAGCGCAACCAGGTCACAGAGAGCCAATCTGCTACTCGTCACGTTTCACAAAGCTTCAAACAGAGGCAGGCGTACCAAACGCGCACCTCTCAGGGGTAGTGACGCTGGTGCTGACGGCTCACTTTGGCTCACTGGGCTGCTTATCACCATTAGATCTGTCACACTTCGTTTGATCCAGCCACTCCTGGCGAGCTTGTGTTACGGACCCCGCTCCCGGCACCCACCTTGCCATTCGCGGCGGCAGAGACAGCTGCGGCTGCTATTGGCCTGGCACTGTCCCCACTCCGGGAAGCCACACTGGCCCAGGCAGGAGGGGATGTCGCAGGCCTCGCCCTTCCACTGCTCTGCGCACTCGCAGTACACCCCCGCGCTGCCGTTGGCCGGCCGGCACTCCCCCCGGTCCGAGCAGTTGTTGGGGCAGGTGTTGATTCTGTTGGCAGGGGGGGGTGAAGAGCCAGGAGAGGCAGGTCACCCAGTGTTTGTTTTCATGTGTCCTCATTGTGACACTCGGAAACAAACACGCGCCTGTATAAACAGCAGCGGTTATGACTTCGGAAACGACGCCCAACGCTGATAGAGGTGTTTCTAAAGGAGGGGGCTTTCATTTCAGAAATCAAAGGATGTCTGAGGGGAGAAGAAAAACCTCTAAAAAAGTGTCAACAGACAATGATCATGTAACAGCACAGACGTGATGGAAGGATATAACGATGGCTTCAGGACATCCAAAATAGCTTGTTTTCCAAAATGCTTTGCTTAACACTGAGTGTGAAGAGCGGACTCACACTAACAACGCAGGCCAGGGTGGTAGGGCTTACCATCGCCGTCTACCACCCCATTAGACCTTCACATTACAGTGACAGTTAAAACAAACAGATATGACCCTATGGGAAAAACATCTACATGTGTTTGCTAAAAACAAAATGACAAGCCAACGCTGAAAGAGACAACGACCCCAAAGGCTGGAAACATGGCAATGATGTCATTGACCCAGGCTGACCCGCAGAGCGTGGCGCCGGGAAACGTAAGCGCTTATCACGGTGCAGGGTCACATGACCGCCACCGCGCCCCCCCAGCAGAGCACAGACAATGCAAGTGTTCTGCTCCGAAGGGCTTGAGCTGGCAGGGTAACAAGGCCGGCTCTGTGCCGCCCAGCCCCCTTGAAAGCGGCTCCCAGCTGCTTCGTGGATCTCCACGCATCCTGTAACACCCACCCATTACCCGCAGTCCCGCTGTTATTACACTGGAAATATCAGCATGCTGGACCCTTTCTAGTCCAGCCGGGTTTGTCTGATTTCTCCTCCAAATGCCAAACATCCACCTTGGCTAATGAGAGGGTGCTGCCAGGCTGCTGATGCCGAAGCTTCCAAAAATAAACGCAGCCTGAGAGCAGAGGCGTGCAGGACCGGGCTGAATGTTTCTTTCCCCTACGGCCAGATCCTGGTGTCAAGGAGCTGTTTACGACGAGGAGCCGTGGGCAGGAGCCGACTCCACTTCTGCCTCACTGACAGACTTAGGACGCTAAAGAGATCATCATTATGGCAATTATTTTTTGGTATCCATAATTATAAGCTCTAACTGAAGGTGGAACTGGATTAGGTGAAATTAAAACCATAAACTCGGATAGCAAGGTGACCTCAGCCGGCTTGGCGCGTCACGTTCACTTTGGCGTTTAAACATCTGCGCTTAATTAACATTTGACTCGCATTTATGTGCTTCAGCCGACCACAAGCAGCCTCAATCACCGGCCCAGATGAACATGGTCTCACCAGAAAATATGCTCAAGAGCTTTTCATGAAGGATAAGAAACACAGCTGATGAGTATGGCTCATTTCACAAGGGGAAAGACAAGGCGGAGGCATCCACACGGTGGTCGTGCTTCGCACGGCGTCACGCTGCCCCTCGCAGCCGTGCGATGGTGCAGCTGCCACATCCAGCATACTTAAAGGGACAGGCCGTTTCCCTCAACATGTACAGCATGTGTCGGTGGCAGCTGATAAAAATACACCGGCCTGAAAAACTATCTGAAATCAAATCTGTGTTATTTCATGAAAACTGTTCCTATGTGCGTTTTTACACAGTGTATTATTCAGCAAACCCTGACAGGTGGTGTATTGGGATTGATGTCAAGAATGCATGCGAGTGACAGCCAAGGCTGACGCCCTGTCTGCCAATCAGAGCTCAAGCACTGAATATGCATGAATGACATCACCACAGCCAGATGGTCACATCAGCAGCCACAGCAGACACCTTCCTACAGAAAGCTGCCCCGCTCTGTGGTCTAGACATTTCATTTTTCAAATAGCTAAATGAAAACAACTGGAGAGAGATGTCAGGGCAGGAGAACGCTTCTGTTGACAGCTATCTTGGGCGCAAGAGTTAACCTGCTAATCACGACATCCCTTTGCTCAGTCTAAATGTTTCCATTACGTTTTTCTAACTTTAGTAACTCATTTGCAAGTTCATAGTCACAGAGAAAAATTGCTTGGTTTTGAATTTCAAATTAGGACCAGTACTAATTATTATACATCACTGCATAAAGTACAGCTGTGTGCTATTCAGCCTGCAGTCAGTCAGTGGGGGGGGGGGGGGTAAGTGGCACAGGGGCATCCGCACAGAAAACCACAGGTTGCTTCCGCAGGGGTGTGCGCAGCTTACCTGTAAGAGATGTTGAAGCCAGTGAGATTGTAGGCTGCGTCGCTGAAGAAGTGCAGCAGGGCGTAGCCGGATTGGGAAACCACCTCCGGGAGAGTCTCGTTGGAATAGCGCTCTGGCACGATCAGGCCGCTGTCACCCACAAATGAGACAGACCAAAATTAGGGCCACGGCCAGACATGCACATTCGAAAGCAGAGCGACACCACTTACAACTTATGGGTGAGAAAAGATGTCCCTCAAAACTGCTGTAAGACCAGAGGAAAGAGGAGTGACTGCTAAAAATCTCTAATCCGTGATGCGAGTCGAAAGGCCGTCCTGAACGTCCGGAAGCACAAAGATCAAGCCCAGTGATGACTGGGAGCAAGAACACAGACATGGAAGCATAGAGCAAGAGCCACTAACAGGTCAAGGTGACTGAGCCCGAGAGCAGCACCTGTGGACAGGCGCCCCGGGTGCCTGGACCCTAGACTCCCATGCAGCATGACTGTTTACGTTTCCAGCCGCAGTCCTACACAGGAACCGGGGCTGTGTGGAAAAAGCAGAGGCTTGGGTCATGGCTTAGGCACCGGACTGGTCGACTAGCCACCGTTTATGTGAGGACACGCTTGTGGCCAAACTCGACGTGCTTCTGCACGCTGCCAAAATTATTCCACTCACGCTTCAACGATCTGACAGTAGTTAACCATAAACACTTAAGACCATAAACATGGAAGTAATGACCCACTTTCCAAAGCATTTCAATGCCTATGGTTCCTTTAATTCTCATTGAAATGCAGAACACTGTCACAACCCTAACTGTAATTAAAATGAACTGTTCAATGCTATTCAATAATACTACAGAAAGCAGGAATGTGGCACAAAGAGGAAACACTCATCTACAGTAGAAACTGAGTATTGTGTGTAATTTGTATGCCCTCCCTGGGTTTCTGCAAGTGTACTTCCTCCTTCATTATTCAAAAAGCAAAGCGTTAATGCAGTGAGCATTTAACTTTATTTAAGGGTGTAACAGAAAACACCTGCACCTATATAGCTGTCAGATTATAGCTATAGTACAAACTACATTTTTTCCATTAATGAATAACTCTGACTCAATGTCAGCTCACTACCAAATTGTTTTTACAGTATACATATGAATATACAAGACTACATACAATTTTGCAGTTAAGTCAGTTCTGTTAAGAGAACACTACATTGCACAGCTTTTACAACAAGGATCTTTCCATAATGACACATTATCTAAACACAGTATTTACTAATCCCAAGGTTTAAAAAAAAAATTAATCACAATCACATCTGCACTGTGAGGAAGAGAGCGAGGCCTCCAAAAAGCAGGCAGAACGCTCTGGAGAGGTGCCATCTGTACGGTCACCAAGAGTCGACAATGACTATTCTTAGGAGTCAGTCTGAAAAGGCACCAGTTTCAAAAAAGTGAAAAATATTGCCGTGTGAGTCAATATCAATAAATTCTGAAAACACTCACATGGATCTTGTTCAGGCTGCGTCCACCAGCCTGGGCTGACATGCCTTCAATCCCACTGGCAGCATAAAGCCTTAATCTCTATAGAAACCTGCAACTTTTCCCCATATTAACTATTATTAGAGACATTTACTGTGGCTTCCTAGGGAAGTACTGCCTGAAAAACCTTGGTCTTTGCTGCCATTGCTGACATTGTAAACAAGCACACAGTGAAAACCTGCCAGCTTTGACTTCTGCTAATAGGCGAGAAATTCGAGCAACACACTGATGTTGAGGAAGCAGAAAGCTGAACTGTCTTCTGGAGCCCAAGCCTCCATCAAGGAGAAGAATGAGGTTTCTGTTACCACAAGTTAAGCATTAAGATCATTTAAACTGTCAAAGTAGCAGCCTCAACAATGCCAGACCTTGCACTCACTGACAGATAAAAGTCCTCCCAGGGCCAAGATGGTGTTTTTTAATCTGAGTTTAAATGAAATGATTTAACTTCATCTTTGAGAAACAAGAGGTACACCAGGCACACTGGCCCTAAAATTAAGTCACCTATCAGAGATTACAACAGAAAGGACATGTCATAATACACAATTAGCGTTAAACTGATGTTGTATGAAGCACAGAGGTGGTTCTATGCCCTGTAGAACTTCTGAAGAAACAGCAGCTACACGAAGGCTCTGTGCAGAACATATAGCAAGTGGTTAAAGGGCTCACTAAGACAGGAGTACAGGAATGAAAAATATTAATTATTCATACAGCAAAAGAATATTAAAAGCATTTGTAAAAATGCTCAGAAATTTATGTCTGAGTTTTTTCCAAAAATCTCACTTTTGGAACCAGATGGATGCATGGTGCATAGGAGAAAAGGCAACCCTAAATACTGAACACAATCAGAAGCTTCTAGAAGCATGTGACGAGCGCCAGTAGTGAAGATTAAAAAGATTCAGTGGTGGCGCCATGACGTTACCGATCCGAGCATGAGCAACTAGCCTTCTGCAGCCCTCGCCATACGTCAGCATGGACCAGTAAGGGAGGTGGAGGCCGGCTGTCTACCCCCCCCCCCCTTCCTCCTCTACTTGCGCATGGGGGCGGGCAAAGGGAACAGCGCTCAGCCACTCCTCCTGCCAGCTTTATGGTGCGTTCGATTATTTCTCTCCAAGTCGGAACTCGGATGAAAACATCACGAAACGTCACGAAAAACGTCACTTCCCGTCGGAAACACGCCCCTTTTATGACGTTGAAGTCGGACCAGATTTTCTTGCCCGAGTTGCCCCTGTGACGTAATTTCAACATGGCGACTTGGTTTGTTTGTAGTTTGTTTACCAATCGAAAAAAGAATATCGCTATGAATGTACTAAAATATTTTATAAAGCTTTTAATGTGGTTTGACTGGTTCGTGTTTCTTGTTTGTCTCTCGGAAAAATCTCCATTTCTCCATTTTCTCCATTTGGAAAACTCCAAATCTGCTAAAATATAAAGCAACAACACACAGCAACGTGTTCATGGAGGCAGCCATGTTTGTTCCGAGATGTGGGTAGCTCGAACGGGAGATTGTCGGACGTGATGTCACTCAACTCGGAATTTCCGAGTTCCGAGAGAAAAACGAACGCACCATTACTCTGCAGCCGGTCAAAAAGAACAGGCACCTAGGAGCGAGAGGATAGAGGTACGTTTGAATAGGTAAACAATCCCTCCTTCTTTCTCCAAGATGCAGGGACATCAATTAAACCAGAGATGGTCAGCTCCAATTTTTAGGTCACCAGTCCCAAGAAAAAATGATTGATAATGAATTAGCAACTGTGCCACACCGGCACCACCAGACTGACCGCCTTCATGTTCAGATAAAGGTGACTCACAGTAAAACACGGAAGGGCTGGTTGCCCAAACTTGGCGTTCTATATCCCTGGTGTAAGAGGTATGGGAACACGCCAACACTGGATAACCTGAACACGTATCAGTCAGTCAGCATGGTCATTAAATACCATATGCTCAATAGCAGAACCTACACTTAGGATTCCAATGAATGGGCAAGAAAAAATCCCCAATCTCCGATTTTCTAGGACAGTACATTACTACACAAAAAAACTTAACAAAATATCACTTTCACAACAATTTTCAACAGTTTGTTCTTCCACATTACTTCTGGTAATTTAATAAGCTGTGAAGCAACTGAAGGAAGGATGTTAGCAGTCATACACAATGGCAATAAGAGGGAAATCCGGCGCAAACAGGAGACCAAAAGAGGCCCCTGACATCATTGTGGAACTAAAAGAAGGGTATATTCTTCCTGTTTGTGGATGAGGAGCCCATTGAATAAACTTCCTTCACACATTACTAAGTAAATTGCAGCGAATCCTTTAGAATTTGGCATAATGGTGTTAATCTCAATGGCAACGGGGTCTTTGGGGACCTGGTTTAGGGCTTTGGGATGTCCAACATTGACCGAGCCAAAATGACCTTTCAGGCCAAAAACATCAAAAGGCCTGTAGTAAATCACAGAGAAAAGGGCCAGAACACCGGCATGTCAATATGTCAGCCTGATCAGTATGTTCAGTTGAAAGTGCAATTAGAGCCATATAAATTCAGATCAAAGGCTCTTACACAACACAGACGTAACCACTCCTTTCGACCAGCCCAATTACAGGCACCATTTGTCGAGGTGCCACTGGCCAGTGAGCACATGAAATTGCCTGATGGTCTACACACTGATAAGTCTTTGGAGACCAGAAAATGATCGATGACATACATTTCCAGTTCTAAGTAAAGTTATGTTGATAACCTAAATTCAAACCTTTAATATTACTGAAACAGAATGCAGAAAAATGGGCTTTGTTCCCAACTGTATTACACCTCACAGAAAAGAATGAATCATTGCACAATAGGGTTAATTAACCAATGTCTTCACACAGACACATTTCTGCGTAATGCCTTCTTGAGTGTGCTAAAGACCAAGTGCATTTCTAATTTTTCTAAGACCATTACATAGTATACATATTATCAGTGACATGTGAATCTAGTGTAATACCACTTGTTTTAATTGCAGGTAAGGTCTGGTGATACCCTGCATGACACTTATTGTGTTACCACTGGCTGTCCAGCAGAATGTGATCCATGAAATCATCCTGCACTACAAAAAAATAGCTGACTGTTCCATGCAATCAGCTCCATGATTTCGGTACGTGCGTCTTTAGCTGTGGTGCTGCTCATTTTAAATACAGTAAAATCCCATTAAAGTGGACTGGCTTATAACGGAATATCGTCTATAATGGACGAGGTCCACTGGTCCCGGCCGCGCGCCTTTAAGAACATGCAGAAAAAGCACTGGATATAGCAGACTGACATATAACGGAATTTCGCTTATAATGGACAAACAATTTGGTCCCCAGGGCCACTTTTAGCTGTAGTTCTGTTCGGCTATAACAGACATGCAGCTCCGCCTACAAGGCGTGTGGCGTGCCGGTGATATCCAGCGCAGATACGTAGTCCGGATTATTAATAGTCACACATCTGGTCAGGTAAAGTTGGATTACTACATGTACAATATAATAATCTATACCACAAGTGTATCTGCTGGGGTGTGGCATGAGTAAATGGTGTCCTGTAGTTGTGTTCTGGGCATACAGCAACTCTGGATATAACAGACTTTGGATATAACAGACTGT